TTTGAACTGTTTCAAGTGTCAGGGAAAGCTGGAGAGAAATATAACCCTTTAGGAACCTATTAGCACCAGGCGCGTGGCCTGAAGAGGCCACTGCCCAAGCCCTGTTCCTGACCCAGGACGCAGGCCCCTGACCCTCTGGGTGTGGCACAGCAGGCAGTTCTCAGGTTCTTTCACCAAAGGGGGGGAATGGAATCTGCTTGCCAGCCCTACACGCAAACTGAACGGATCTGTTCCTCCTCACCCATAGCGACATCTGGTGTAAGGCTTTGCAGGGCTTTTTTTGTAGAAAAAGCCCAGCAGGAACTCATTAGCATAACAGGCCACACCCAACAGCAGAAACTCATTAGCATAGTAGGCCACACCCTGACAGCACCACTCATTAGCATATTAGGCTGCACCCCCATGATACCAGAAGTGTAGTCATCCAGCCACACCCACCTTTTGCTTCTTATTCTGTTTACCTTGTTTGTTGTCAAAACCCAGGGCTTTTCTTGTAGCAGGAACCCTTTGCATGTTAGACCACACACCCCGAATGTAACCAATCCTAATGACTTCCTGCTGTTGGGTGTGGCCTATTATGCTAATGAGTTCCTGCTGGGCGTGGCCAACTCGGGAGCCAGCCGGAACTCCATTCCTGTGCGTTCCTGCCCAAAAATAGCCCTGAGGCTTTGTACCTGCCGTGGGCACAGACGGTGGGCTTCTCTCTGGAGCAGGGGTGGGATCCTTCGTGCCAATGGAAGTCATGCAGTCCGGCTTTCTTGGAGGTTCACTTTGCTTGTCTATTTATTTTGATGTTTGCATCCTGCCCTTTTGGCCCCTGGGAGGCAACCAGTATCACAAACAACTGATAATCAATCAGTCAGGGGGCAGGAGGAGTTCCTTCTCTCTGGAATCGCCCCACTCCTGCTCCGGGGAGAAAGCCGCTCGCCCTCAGCTCTGTGCGGGACAAACATCATCTGGCCAATGCTGTATAAGAGCCCCTGGGGAATGGGCCCCTCCGGCCAACTTCAGGACCTTCCTCCTACACGCACGGTCAGGGTGTGGAGCCAAAAAAATCCCCAACAACCATACACTTTCCCCCTGACATATCAGCAGGCTGAACAGTACAGGCAGGCCCTGTGGTCTGCCTAGAAATCGGTCCTGGTAGAGAGGAGCAAGAAGAGGTGCAAGCTTAGGTTCCCTCCTGGGTAAAGCAAGGATCTCTCTGCTGGAGGTCCAGGAGAAAGGGACCAAAGGAATCAGCGGGGCAGGGCAGAAGGGGCAAGAACCAAGAGCCTCAAGCGCAGGGTCCCTGAGCTGCCAAGGCAAACTTTGGAAGTATGTGCCAGTCTGGTGCCAGGAGAACAGGGCATCCAGCAGGCTGTCCTCTGGGCCGAGGAAGTGGTGGAACAGGAAGGTAAAAGGCCACCCAGGGTTGCAAGTTCAAGCCTGGTAAGCCCTAACGCTCCGTCAGCCAGAGAGAGGGGCGGGGAGCTGGCCAACGCTCTCCGGGCACAGGGCACATGGGGGAGATGAGACGCCAGAATTGTTGCAGTCTTCTGCACCGTTGGACCTGGAAGGAAGGAGTATGGCTTGTTCCAAGTTAAGGGCTGTTTTTAAAGTGTGTTGATTGCAACTGGAGAGACTTAAGGGGCTGCTTAACTGTCTCCTTCATAGAATCACAGAGTTGGAAGGGGGGCCACACAGGCCATCTAGTCCACCCCCCTGCTCAATGCAGGAGCATCCCTGGACCAGTGTTGGTCCAGCCGCTGCTTGAAGATGGCCAGTGAGGGGGAGCTCACCACCTCCCGAGGCGGCTGATTTCCACTGTTGCACAACTCTGACTGTCCAAATGTTTTTCTCCTAATTTAAACCCATTCTCGGGAGTCCTCTCCTCTGCTGCCAACAGGAACGGCTCCCTGCCCTCCTCAGTCATGCCCCCCTCATCCTTCTCTTCTCCAGACTGAACCTTCCGAAGTCCCTCAGCCTTTCCTCAAATCAAGGGGGCTTAAAGAAGTGCTTGGCTTAGGAGGGATACCATTTCCTAGGTGGGGGGCAGGGGGAATCCCCCGCTTTTGCAAGGTCTTGCGGCCAGCTGGCTGGCAGGAGGAAATTCTCCCCCACCCCCGACACGTGCACAATGCGCTGGCATCACCCGGAAGTGATGTCAGTGACGTCGGGGGCGACGTTCTGCTTTTTGGGCAAAACTCTATGGTTTGAGGCTGTTTTTACTATAGAGTTTGGGTCAAGTCAGGGCAACCCTAGCTTGGCTGTTCTGGAGGGCACCCAGGCCCTCTGTCTGTCATGGCTTGAGAGCCAGTTTGGTGTCGTGGTTAAGTGCGCGGACTCTAATCTGGGAGAACCGGGTTTGATTCCCCATTCCTCCACTTGCACCTGCTGGATGACCTTGGGCAAGCCACAGTTCTCTCAGCCCCGCCTGCCTCACAGGGTGTCTGTTGTGGGGAGGGGAAGGGAAAGGAGTTAGGGTTAGCCGCTCTGAGACTCTGAGTGATGGGCGGGGTATGAATCCAATCTCCTTTTCCTCCTCTTCACCTGGGTCCCTCTCTTCTCTTCCTTAGCCAGGTGAGGAGCCAGAAACCGTGCGCGCGCACACACACACACCCGGCAGCCATCGCCACCTCCTCCCTGGTGGAAAATGCTCTGACTGATTTGACTTGCCAAGACTGATTGGCTCCTCCTCCTCCTCCTCCTCCTCCTCCTCCGCCGGACCTAGAGAAATAAAACAGTTGTTGGGACCTCTGAACATTGTCTCCCAGTGCGGTCGAGCTATTGCCAGGTGAGGTGCAGATGTACACTGGGTTTCCTCCCCAGCCCCTTAAGAAGTTGCCGTCTTCCAAGGGGACTGAATATCCTGTGTGAAACATCCTCAGCCCCCGTGGCAGAACTACAATTCTCAGGGTTGGTTCCACTCCTCTGCTGAAGTGGACCGGTTGCCTGAGCAGCGGTGAACTCACGCCTGCCCGTTCTCCAGGGTTTGCATTCTTTTGGAGGGACTTGGAATGTGGACAGGTCCACAGCAGGCCCCTCCCTCGGTTGCTGAAGGCCAGGCTTCCTATTGACCCCCCCTCCCCCCCCCCCCCCCCCCCCCCCCCCTCTCTCTCTCCTGCTGCTGCTGCTGCTGCTCAGGTTCCTCAGTCACCTGTTCTGGTGCGATCTTGATTTCCTGCAGTACTTCTCCCCTCCCCACTTCCTCTTTCCTCCCCTGGGAAAGGCATGTCTGCTTCTGGCATCTGTCCCCTTCTCTCTTTGTGAATGCCAAGGCAAAGCAGCGATTTAATTTTTTAGCAGTATCTCTCTCTTCTGTCAATTAAGCCCTCTTTTGCTCTCCTAGAGGCCCGGCTGTCTCCACGATTGACCTCTCTCTTCCTTGTACATACTGCAAATGCCTTATTTATTGCTGCCAGTTCTCCTCTTCCGTCCCTCCTCGTTTCTGAAGCTCTCTGTCCTTTCCTGCCATCCGACCGGGGCCAGAACCTGGGTTTCTTCCTTGATTCTTAGCTCCTTTTGGATGCCCCGTCTCTCGGGGCCCTCGCACGGCCTATAGTGCAGTATGGCATTTGGAACCCTGCAGCAGATGGTGATTTAGCGTTCAGCGTTTCCCCTCAGAGCTCCCTTTCAGTCTCTCCCATTGCTTCCAAATTACTCCGCAATATGCGCCATACAGTTTGATTGTTGGTTTTCCCAAGCCCTTCCATATTGTCGATAGAGTGTCCCCATTCTCTGCTCTTCTGAAGCTCTGAGCACCATGAGCCCTCTTACAGTCCTCTGCCTGACCTTCTCTCTCTGTTGCTTCTGCACCTCCTTCTGCTTCCCACTGTCAGCAGCACCCCAGTCCAAGTCCTCATCGTCACAAATCCGCTCATGTTGGGCATTGCGAGGAAGCCTCCGACTGAGTCTGAAGCTCTGACTGAGGGGCCAGCTAGCCTGACCATTCAATGAACATGAAAGTGACCCATAGCCATTTCATCCAGCCACTTAGTCGTTTCCATGGTATTGGCTGTGCCAGCTAAATTTCCAAGTCGCCTTTGAGAACAATCCCAGGTTGTAGTAATGACTCTGATCACATCTCCCTCAAAGTTCAGCCTCCCCAAGCACATTTGGGGGTGGAGGGATTTGCCATGCTGATGCAGAGTCTGCTATTACATCGTCCTGAATGCCTCGAGTTTGACTTCATTAAAAAGCAAGTTTCTCGTCCTTAGGGATCTAGTCTAGAAAGAACTCCACATCCGTGCTTCACCTCTCTCATGCCCTTCTTTGCCAAAGAGTTTCCAGAAACACCTTCATTGTTTGAAATCTAAATCAAGATAGATGGACAAATTATATGCAGATACGTTTAATTTGCGTATCGTATCCTGAGTGCATAATTTGGGATTCCTAGCCTCAGGGTTTCAGTGTAGTTGTCGCAGAAAGGGTGACCGCATGGTGACTGTGCCAAGAACCCCGAACCCTCTTCATCCAAAGGGGCCGTGGTGCCTTAACGTCCTTTAGCTTCCCCACTGATGAGAGAAGTTCCCTTGGGAAGTCCACCTCCCTCAGCCTGAACTCTCAAGGGACCCAGACCGATTCCCTCTCATCATGACACAGTCTAATTCCCAGTATCCTGCTCTCCGTTTTCTCAACCAGTTTGAAGGGGAATGCATCCTGGCTCACCTGATATGCTGCAGCCCCTGCCTCATCCTTCAGAGAAGGTTAGGTCGGATGCCTGTGAACTCCACCTCCTTAACATTAACAGTCCTTCATCAGATATTTCATATCTGCCAAAGGAAGTTTTGACTCTCAAAAGCTCATTCCCTGAAAATCTGGTTCATCTCTGAGGTGCTACTGGACTTCTACTGCAGGCAAACACAGCTACTCTCTGAAACTACCTCGAGAGTGAGACTGACTTGAAGTTAATGTACATCTAATCCAAACAGGGAGAAATAAGATGGCTGTAATTGCTGTCCTCAAACATATGCCCATTTCATTCACACTTCCGTCCTCCCTCTCTTTTTTCCTTTCAGGTTTTCAGGAAGCCAGCACTGCGGACATATTCACTGTGCGTACCAGTACCGGGAACATTATCACTGCCTTGACCCGGAGTGCAACTATCAGGTAAAAAAAAATGACCCAAGAGGACACACAGGGCAGGCCTTGAACTACACCCTCTTCTTGACACCATTTCCCCACAGGAAACAGGATCTTTTCACAGCCAGGGAAGATGCTGGACATGTTTTTCTTGAGACAGCCATTCTGCAATGAAGCCACCTCTGGTTGTCTGTCTTGGAGGCTTTTGGCATAGAGGATGTGATATTGTGAATACAGCAATGTGTTCCAAGATCACTGTTTTCCATGTCCTGGGAAAAGCTATCAAATGTGGGGTTGGCAAGAGGTGCCAAACTGAAGAACTAATTCATGCAAGGATCAGCAGCTGCCAGAAAGCCTTTGGACAGTTCTGTGCATTTTTTGCCTGTGGACAGCTGGTTGTGTGCAACGGCATCCATGTGCAGCACTGAGTATTTTGTCTTGCCATTGCCGGGGTACTTTCCAGGCGTCTGCAGTGGCATCTTGCACATGGCAGTGATCTCACGTGGTCCCCTGCAGCAGCACTCTGAACACTTTTCCAACATCCATTGTGTGCCTCATGGGATTTCACAAGTTCAGCCATCAATACCCTTACAATGCCAGCTTGTGGCAACATTTATTTATTTTTATTTATTTAATTCGATTTCTATCCCGCCTTGCCTGACAAGCAGGCTCAAGGCGGTGTACAATAATAATTTACAATAAAAACAGATAAAATTCTAGCAATAAAATATAAAGTGCAGATTAAATACAAACAATAAAGTGCAGATGGTGATAGTTGTAGTTGGCCCCGTATGAGTAGACCAGTATCCCAAATAAAGTTCCAGTAATAGATGTTCAGTAGCTCGTTCAGTAGCGGCTTCTAATCGAAAGCCTGGTGGAAGAGCTTAGTTTTACAGGTCCTGCGGAACTGTAGAAGGTCCCGCAGGGCCCTGATGTCCTCCGGGAGCTCGTTCCACCAGTATGGAGCCGCCACTGAGAAGGCCCTAGATCTGGTGATAGCCAGTCTGGCATCCTTGGGGCCAGGGACAGTCAGGCGATGTTGAGTCCCCGACCTCAGTGCTCTCTGGGGAACGTGTGGGGAAAGGCGGTCCCTCAGGTAGGCAGGCCTCCGGCAATATAGGGCTTTAAAGGTCAAAAGCAGCACCTTGAAGCAAATCCGGTATGCTATTGGCAGCCAGTGCAGCTCCCTCAGCATAGGCCGGATGTGCTCTCGAATAGAGAGGCCCATCAGCGGCCTGGCTGCCGCATTCTGCACTAGCTGCAGCTTCCGGATCTGGGACAAGGGCAGCCCCATGTAGAGAGTGTGGCAGTAGTCACCATACTGTCACCATACATACAATCCCACCTGTTAAAATGTGGTCGTGCTAATCGGCTGCAGGTCCCTTTCCTCACAAAAGGCAGGTGTGGTTTTTTCTAGTTGCCCCCTCTTTTATACAAGTGGAATCCGCTTTCCATAACATAGCCAGGTGGAAACCTTAGCCCAGCTGATGCCCGCCTGAATTTGGCCTCTGTGGTGAGGAACTTGCAAATGGGGGTGGGTTGTCAATTCACCTCAGCCTTAGCCTGGCCAAGTGATGTTACAGCCACTGCCAAATCAGAACAGCCTGGACCCGCGGTTTCGTTTAGGGGAGGGATAGCTGGGGGGTGGCAGTGGTGGCGGAGGAGGAGGAGGAGGAGAAAGGGCATAAGCCAGCCTGTAACGGCTGGCTGGGAGAGCTGCCAGGATAGAATTGTCAAGTCAGATCCTGGTCCCATGCTGGGTTTGTTTACCCAGCGCTCCCGGTTGGAGAGTGTGAATCCACTCTTCCTGTGGTTAGTCCTCTGTGTGTCGGGGGGAGAGGAATTCCCAGGAACTGCTGCGGCTGAGTGTGGCGTCTGCTCAGAGGAAGCACAGCGACACCCGTTCTTCCAAACGCAGTTCTTCCAAGGATGGCCGGCCTGTTGGCTCCTGTTGATCAGCCCGGGGATGTGAGCAGAGACCAGTCTGTAGTGGGAAGGAGATGCCTCGTCTGATGAGTCTGCCTCTAGTAGCATGCCAGCCCTTGAAGAACAGGGAAAGCAGAGAGAGAAGGGAGGCTGTGGCAATGAAGTCAGGAGCTGTCCTGGCTAGGGAAGGGAAGGGAAGAAAAGGGAGGGGTGGGATACGCTTGATCCCACGGGGGAATAAAGCTTTAGGCTGACTTTTTGCAAATGCAAATTATCCTGCAGGCGAGATCTATTTTTATAATGAATGCCGTTCAGTAATAAGTGGCCGCAAATTAAGGGTGATTGGCAACGGAATTCCTGTAATGTAACGCCTCAGGGAAATCAGTGCTCGGGTCTTTCTTGGAGTTCCCGTGTCAATCCCAAAGTTTAAGAAAAGCAATAGAAATAGATCAGGATTTGGCTTTTTTGAGTGGAGAAGCAAAATGTAGGGGGCAGCAACATGTCATCTGTCTTTTATCATGGAAAACGTTTGAATATTTCGTGATGGGTGGGGGGGTTAAATATACTACCACCATTTTTTAAGTGATTTCACGCAGCATTTATCACCCTTTGCTGGGGAAAGTCAACACTTTGAGACTTTGTTTTGTGTAGGCAGCGCTAGCTCCCTTGTCTGGGAAACGGAAAGAGAGAATTAGCATGACGGAGAGTATTTTGGTCCGGACTGTAGGTAGGTCAATGAGGGTTAGTTATTTAAGGGGCTTACCTTGGAGGGAGGACAGAGCCCTCCTGCCCCGTCATAGCTTGGCCAGGCCCATTCTCTTCTGCCTGTTGAAACATTTCTGCCCTGCCTTTCTCACCATCTGCAGTCACTGAAGACACCTTACAAGCCAGCAAAGTGGGGGAGGGAGGGAGATAAGAAAACCAACCCTCCAGTTCTTGCCCTCGCAGGCTCCCTCCTGGTTGCCCTCTCGTGTCCATCCATTTCCCCCGAGGTGTCCAGAGGACAGTCTTCCTATCCAGATGATCTAGCAGCCACTGCGACCAAGCCTATCAAGTTGGGCATTTGGTTGGGATTTGATTGTCCGGATATGAAGGGTGTCATGGGAACGTCTCCAAGAATGGGAATGGCAGTCCAAAAAGCTGACTTTCCCAACTTAGGCCATTTTCACACAGGACAATCACAAGCTTTCTGGGACCTCCCAGGCTTGGAATTTGCAATGGAAGACTCCTTCGACGAGACGGGAGTGCTTAGCCTGAAACTGGCCCTCATCTGCTTTCCGTCCCACATTTACAATGTTCGCAAATGCGCACAAAGAGCATGATACACCAAGGGGCACTTCTCTGACAGCTGTAAAAATAGTCTTACTGGTTACTTTAACGGGGTGAAATCATGTCATTGCTGAGTATGTACAAAGGAGGTATTGCCCAGAGACACCCCCCCACCCCCACCCCGGTGCTGGCACCTCTCACACTGCGTGTCTCCATCTTCCCACCAGAGATTCACGAGTAAGCAAGACGTGATTCGGCATTACAACATGCACAAGAAGCGCGACAACTCCCTTCAGCATGGCTTCATGCGTTTCAGCCCCCTGGACGACTGCAGCGTTTACTATCATGGCTGCCACCTGAACGGGAAAAGCACACACTACCACTGCATGCAGGTAACAGTGCCCAGCCCGGGAGTCCCCCTTTGGCCATTGCATCAGTTGCTCGCATACATGGACAGAATGGTGTTCCCCGTGCGGTGCACATCCACAGCCCTCCCAGAGAGCCACTGTCCTCTGGACAACCCTATGGAGCAAATGCATCACAGTAGGGATTTATAATCTGATTCTAGCAGATCAGCGGCATTAAGAGGATGGCCTCTTCTAGCAAAGGATAGCACTGTAGCTACATTTGAGCAGAGAATTCGGGGTGGGATCAGGAGATTATCTAGAAACACAGTTGAACTTGGATATGTTATCATCGGTGTGGCTGCGCGAGGCCCGTGTTCTGATCCCTGTTGAACCAGGAAGCTGAGGAGTAGACGTCAGGCATCGTTTTTCTCCCTCTAACCATCCCAACATGGTTGGAAAAGATAAGGAGAATGTTGTACTTTGATCAGAGCCATAGTCAGTAATCAATAACCTTCCATTTCCTGCTTAGGATCTCCCCTCAGTGACTCATCCAGGCAGAACCTTTGTCGAGTTGCAGCAGGTTTAAACTCTGCAGGTCTCTCTCTCTCCAAGATGCTCCTTCCTCAAGCCAAACAGTCCATCAGAACGGCTCTTTCCCCCCTTGCTGTGCAGCCTCTCTGTGCAACGCCTGCCCTTTAGCTGTGGGTTTGTCCCTTTGTCGCCAGCTGTATTAATCACAGCCCAGTGTCAAAAGAAAGAGAGAGAGAAAGAGGTAAATTCTCTTAGGAGAGTTATAGGAGAAGGAGGGTTCCGAGGATTACGGTATGGCTTTGTGCAGTTTCAGAGTCAGCTAGCTTGTGACCCCGCCATCTCTTGAAGTCCTGAGATGATCATTAAAAGACCTATCAGATGGGATAGAAAGTCTCTGGACATTGTCTAATGGCCAAAACATCAGTTAAGAAGAGGACTTTGTATCTTAGCCAGTTGCTTCTGTGCCTGAATTGTGAAAACAGCACCCTCTGCCTATTGGCTCTCACACGTGAGAGAGCAGTTTGGCCTTGTGTATACTCATTTCCACCAAGTTAGTGATTTTTCAGACCCTGGTTTTCCGTGGAAACTGATTAGGGATTTTGCAATGAGAAAATGATGAACAGGCTTCAGGATAATTCCAGAGCATATCTGTGTTGGTCTGCAGTAGAACAGCTAAATTCGAGTTGACTTGCCTCTGCTGATCTTCTATGGAAAGTTTTCTGGGATGGCCTGTCAGTTTGCACAAGGGACCATGGAGGCCTTAGAGGTTAAGCCTCTGTACCTTTCATGAGCTGAATGTGCATCCCTAGGATGGATCTTCTGCCCACCAGGCCAGCCGGAACAGCATCAGAAGAGCACTATAACATTGGACTGAATGCCCTTGTAGTCCAGCACCCTGTTTTACCCAGTGGCCAGCCATAAGCTCCTGGGAAGCCTACAGTCCAGGCATGAAGCGTCCTTCACCACTGTGCCCCTGGCATGTCGCCTCGGAACGTGGAGCCTCCTTTTGGCTTTCATGGATGAGGCAGAAAAGGTTCCTTTAAGGTAGAAAACTTGAAATCCATTGTGCCAAACCCAACGACCAAGTTAAGAAGAAAGGTGTGTTGGTACATTATGAATCCCCAATATAAGAAAATATCTCTCAAACGGTGGTATTTGTGCCATAGGGATTGTGAGGCCATTTCTCCCCCCCTTTTATGTCCATAATTGGTGTGGACAAAATTCAGTTAGTTGTTTATACAAATGGACATTTTTCATGCTTTAACACAAAGAGCCCCATTGCAAATGATTCACTAGAAGGTTTTTGTTTAATTTTTTCTTTTAACACCACACCGGGTCTGTCTTCTTTCAAGGTGTCAGTGCGGAAAGGAGCCCTTTTCTTTTGGAAATAGCTGCAGATCTCTCCTCGCTGCTCTCCCCCTCACTTCTTCTTTTTTTCCCTTTTCTGGGTGTTTGTCAGATGTTTTGTTTTTACCTCTGAATTGGCCCAAGTTGAACCGGGGTGGTGGGGGGCAGGAGGTGTTTTGGTTTGCTTCATTTCTGAGATGGTGCAGGCGTTGGCACACGAGGCAAGGAAGCGGGCGGGAGGGAACAAAGCACTCTCGGCGGGCACGATGGCATTGTCGGATTCCACTGGAATTTTACTCAATATGGCAAATTCGGCCCCTTTACTCGGTGGTGGGGGTGAGGAGCGAGGTTTCAGCCTTCCGCTCTTGTCGTACACCCCCCCCACACGCACAGATTCAAATTAAACCAAATGAGAGCGCTGATTCAGGGCAAAAGGGCATTTTATCCCGGTGACCAAAATATCAGAGGGTAGCCAGATGCAAGCGACAGTTTCCTTCTTGTGCAAGGGAATGAAATGCAGCAGCTGACTATTGTGGATTTTCAGGCACTGGTGAGAAAAGCTGTCCTCGCAGAAAGCTGTCCTTCTGCCCCTGCCTCCGTGGCACCTTGCATGCACCTTCTTCCCTTGGCTATGTGCTGACCTCGCTTGGATTCCCACATTGGTCTGGCCAAGTAAGACAAAAGCTGTTAGTTAGCAGCCTGACTTGCCAACAGTCCACTTTGAGTGGGCAACTCCATAATATTAGGGCTCTTCCAGACCCTCCCACCGCAGACATTTCGCTCTCGAACAATGCTTTCCTTCTTGTCGCTTGCATTTCTGCATCGAGTAATAAATACACACTTCACGCCCTGGCAGTGAGGTTTCAAAAGCAATGCCATTTTTCTTAGATAGGCTCACAACATGCTCTCTCTCTCTCTTCTTTTTACATCCTTATCTCCTGCCCCCCGTACCTTGTGCCAGGTGGGTTGTAACAAAGTCTATACCAGCACTTCTGATGTGATGACCCATGAAAACTTCCACAAGAAGAATACGCAGCTCATTAACGATGGATTCCAGCGGTTCCGGGCCACTGAAGACTGTGGCACTGTGGAATGCCAGTTCTACGGGCAGAAGACCACTCACTTCCATTGCAGGTTGGCCCCATACATCTTCCCTTCCCCACCCCCCCAAAAAGGGGGAAAGAGACTACCTCACTCTGTATATACTTTTCTCTGTATTTTGTGGTGTCGTTTATGTTGCTCTCTAGGAGTATGTTTTGGCAGGTTCTTGGAGAAGAGGAGGAAAGAAGGTGGAGAGGCCAGATGGGGATGCTGGCGGTGTGGGGGGTGGGAGTAGCCATAGGTGAGGGCAAGAAGGCATGCAGTGCAGCTCTACCTACCCCCGACTTCGGGAAACCCTGCAGAGTCCAGCTGTAGCTCCTGAGATTCCAGGAGCCCAAGTCCCATTGAAATACACAGAATTAAATGCGCAGCTGAATGTTTACGTTTACTGGAATTTGGCAGGCCTTTATTAGTGGTTTCTTTTGACTGAGATAACCCCATTTGGAATCCAGAGGAAGCCAACAAGCCCCTTGCTGCAGGGGAGGGGGAGTGTAAACTTTTAAGCATTTCCTAAACTGCCCTATTCCCCCCTTGCAGGCGACCCGGCTGCACGTTCACCTTCAAGAACAAGTGCGACATCGAGAAGCACAAGAGCTACCACATCAAGGACGACGCCTACGCCAAGGACGGCTTCAAGAAGTTCTACAAGTACGAGGAGTGCAAGTACGAGGGCTGCGTCTACAGCAAGGCCACCAACCACTTCCACTGCATCCGACCGGGCTGCGGCTTCACCTTCACCTCTACCAGCCAGATGACCTCGCACAAGCGCAAGCACGAACGCCGGCACATCCGCAGCTCTGGGGTGCTGGGCTTGCCCACCTCCCTCCTGGGAGCCAAGGACAACGAGCAGGAAGAGTCCAGCAACGACGACCTCATTGACTTCTCGGCCATGAGCTCGAAGAACTCCAGCCTGAGTGCCTCCCCCACCAGTCAGCAGTCTTCCGTCTCCCTGATCATTCCGGGGGCACCCTCCACTGCGGCAGAGCTGGCCCCCTCTCAGACGGCCAGCAAGTCCGCCAACAGCATGCCGTCGGCCTCTAAGATCCCTGGCCTGCTCTCCCAAACCCTTCCCAGCAATATACCCCTGGCCTTGGCCCTCTCCAACGCAGCGCTTCCCGGATCGGCGGGCTCCTATTTCCCCATCATCCCTAGCCGGGTTTCCACAACGCTGCCCGCCAGCTCCTCTAGCTTGATAGCCGCCGTTCCATCTAGCACCAACCCAACCTCCTCCGCCAATTCCCCTTCCCAGGCCATCTCAGGTTCCGGTGAGGGAGTGGCCACCTCTCTGCCAACTCCAGGGGCATCCATAACAGAGAGGATCTCCGCCAGCAAAGGCTTGATCTCGCCCATGATGGCCAGGTTGGCTGCAGCAGCACTTAAGCCCTCCGTGGCTGTGGAAGCAGGTGAGCTCCTCGCCTCTCCGCCAAGCTGAACAAGGGCATGATCTGCCATTGGGGGAGCTTTGATTGGCAGGGAGTTTGTTCAGCCCACGAAAGACAAGATTGGGAGCGGGGAAGAAGAGTGGGTTGTGTTCCTCAGGGAGGCAGCTACTGGATACTGGGAGCAGAGACACCGCATTGTCTGAGGCTCCTGTATGGAACAGAGCTGGGAGGGAGACATGTTGGTTCGAGGCAAGGGGGGAGGAAAAGAACCTCCTGTTCTATTGACTGCCTTCCAGATCAGCTGCCAAGATAGAGAGCAGGTTTGGTTTGGAAACGCACGCAAAGTCTTTCCCAATCCTCCACCATATATTTCTCCCAACCCCAAAACCCAGCTGCAGAGTTCCACCTTCTTAATGATACATTAAGGAATGAAGGACCTGTGAGAACAAAGACCAGAGACCTAGGGCAACACCAATTATTTGGCAAAGGAGATCGACAGGGAGCAGATTCACACGGCTGTTTTTCGTTCGGCTGTGATGCAGCAAAGCCAGTCAGGGATGAATGTACGGGTGTGGGTGTGTGTGTGAAACAGCCCCCCCCCCAATTTCTTTCCCAACCTCCTCAATCTACCCGACTTCTGTAGGCTTTTGACAGTTCACAGTCAGCTGCAGTTTGGAGGTATTAGAAGGATATGCAAACAGTTTGCTGTAGGCTGACAATGGAAAGGCCAAAAGACGAGCCATAAAATGTTGAGCAAATAAGATCTCGAGGATAAAGTTGTCGAGGGGCATCAGGGAAAACGGTGAAGGAAAATGAGAGGGTTATACCCAGCAGCTTCTCAGACCAGACGCGTACCTGTTTACTCTGCTGAGCAGAGCTGCATCAAATGACTCCCTGGCTCACCCCTTCTGTTATTTCCACACATCAAACATGAATGCTGGATCCTCGCCAGCGCCTTGTAAGCCTCCGTTTCAGTTCGTGGCTTCCTCTCCCATGCTCTGCCATCCTGTTGTGGGCTCTCCCACATTAGCTCCCCACTGGGCCTGTTGGGAATGGCTGCCTCGGTTGCTCCGGCTTGCTAGATCTGAGAGGCAGGTGGCTCTCCCCGCTCTCCTTCACCTGGCGTCTCTGGGAGGCAGTGCTGCCATAATGTGATGGCTTAGTAGCAAGATACTAAAGGCTCTCCTTCCGAGGCAGGCGGCTCCTTTCATCGCCAGCTTCTGTTGTGAACCCAGCAGATGTAGCCAAGCTGCTGGGCCTTTCCCTATCCTCTTTTGGCACCGTGAGTGTAAACGCATTCAATGGAAGCGGTGAATTCCCCCATATTTACTTGGCTATTCCAGCAGTTCGGTCGCTGGTTTCTCTTGCCAAAATTGCCAGTTCTCTTCTTCGGAGGTGCTCCCGAGAGACCAAGGGCCTGTTTCTCGCAGGGCCCCAATAAATGATTTTGCACTCCTCACACACGGCTGCTCTACAGTCTAGTTGGCTAGTTCAACATCCTTCGAAACTCAGTGGAATGAAGGAAGCTGAAATTAAAGCGAGGAAGAGAGAAGCCTGCTGAAGTTTCCAAAAAACCTCTTTATTCTTATCCTGATTATTTTTAGCAGAGGTTATTCTTTCCTAAAACGGAGAAAGGTCATTGAGGGAACTGTTTTTTTTTTCCCCTTTATTTTTTAATAAAATGCCACTTGCTGTCTGTGAAACATTTCGCCATCAGCTGTAGTGCCTCCGGGTAAATTAATATTTTAGTCACTTGGGGATTGTGGATAAAAGCTCGGTGGACATGTTCTTGTCAGCAACTTTGCCTCCTGCCATCTTTTCATCCTTTTCTCTTGTGTTTCTCTGTTTCTCAACTTTGTGGAGCATTTCTGCCCCCCCCCCCCCCCCCCCCATCCAGTAATGGTGTCAGGGCAGGGGAGAGAAACCCAAGCTGCACCTCTGGGGGGGGGGGGGAGAGAAGAACCACCCTCTTGTCAGGGTGACATGATGGGCGAGAGGTCATGCAGTTTGAACCAATCTGATTGGCTGTCAGTTTCGATAGACCTGACACAGCAGATGTTCCTTTTGGGCATGCTCAGTGAGAAGGCCGGAGCGGTCGCCAAGGCAACATGGAGATTGGGGAATGGGAAGGGGGCTTGACTAGCAGTCTAAAGCTGCCACATTGCCTCAGCATTAACAGAGTCTTTAATAAATGCTTAAGAGGCAGCCCCGCAAATTAGTTATGACAGTTTGTGCAGAGCATCAGATCCCCCTCCCTCGCTCCTTCCGCCCTTCTCCTTTAAAGGGCCCACAGCCTGGACAACTTTGACATAATTTTGCAATAATTATCACTTGAAGAATTTCCACGCTGGGGTGGACGTCAGAAACTATCACATCAAGCCAGTGATAAATGCTGACCAGCAATCCCAGACCTTTCCCTTCCATCCCCCTGACTGCCTTTTTCTGTTTTCAGAAACTTTTCTCCAACTCATTATTTGTCATTCTTGATGTTGGTTGACTTCCTTTACTCTATTTACTTATTCAATTCCTGCTCCTGCCGTTTTCTCTAATACAGGGAACGGGCAGCTGACCACTCCTGGACGATTTAACCCCGCTCAGATAAAGCAAGAGACCACTGAAAGTCCGGGCTCTGCTTCCGCAGTGACCCAGGATTCCTTGCAAGAGCGCAGCCTGGACCTGAGTGTGAAGGATCATGGGTAAGAGAAAGAGACTTTGTGTTGGTGGATTCAGATGACAGCTGCATGGCCATTACTGAAAAGCTTACTGTGTCGGTGCGGGGATGTGTGCGCTTTCAGCCCATAGTTACAACCACCTGGATCCACTCAAGAATGGTAATAGGGGCCATAATTGTGGCATCAGAAGCTACTGCCTCCCTCCACGAAACAGGCACTATTTGCTAAGCTTTTAATTGATCTCAACATCATACGCCTGCATCTGAACCCAGGCGTGCTTACCCACGTGAACGAGTGTGGCATCTTGGTTCAGCCAAACACCTCTTCTGGTCTTGCATCCTGCTGAGCAGTGCAAAGGCATGAAAGGTCTTCCAGTAAGCTTCCTCCACTGTTGGAAGCCCCCCCCCCCCCCACATTCCTCATTAATTTCTTTGTTGCATGGCTAAAATGAGGCGTGAGCAAGGCATCAAGATATGAGGAGCTGTCTGGGCCATTGGGTGAACCAGACTGGTGCACCAAGAGTCTTCCACTCAGATCTCAACTGAATCTTCACAGTACCAGCTGGATCTCTTGGGACAAGAGTAGATATCATGTTGTCCTTCTGATGCAGCAGGTGGAAGGGGGGGCAGTTTGAAAGGAGAATTAATTGCAGTCCCCCAATGCACGTCTTAACGAAACCCTGTTGGTTTGTGTGTTCCAGTAATGAATCAAATGGCCACACAGTCTCGGCAAATTCATCTCTTTTATCCTCGCTTATGAATAAGGTAAGAGCCATCCATCAAAGGCCTTTCATTCCCCCCACCAAGAGAAATTAAAGCCGTGGTGGCGAGGTGGGGAGGGAGGGGGAGATGTGTTTGTTTTTTAATGTTTTGCCTCTAATAAGATGAGTTTGTACCATTTAAATTTTGAGACCATTTTTCATCGGGTATAATTTCAGAGCCACTGCTTACGAATTAATTTAATGAACTGGCTGAAGAAATATATCGCAGCCTCTGACATCCCCTTCCCCCCCCCCCTTCTCTATCCCTTCAGGAGGAGGAGGGCCTCCAAAAGGGTTTGTTTTTCATTTCCAAACCTGACAACCCTCTTCCCCCCCCCCTCGCTCTCACTCTTTTGTTTTCTGGTCTTAATTCTATTTATTTACCTTAAATTCTTTTACATGAGCAGGAGAGTTGTATCTGTATTATCTGAGAATAGGAAGGAGGAAAAACACTCAACGTTTTGAGCCAGAGTCTTCAACGCCACGTTTGTCGCCAAGATTCCCTCTGACAGCACTACTATTTATTTTTTGGTTTCACGATTTTTGGTTTCAGTTGTTTTAAATAGCGTACCCAACAGAAAAGTGTATTTTTGTCCTTTTAAACAATAAATGTGACGTTGGCTGCATTCATTATGTCAGCCCAGGCATCCTCATAAGTATGCTTGAGTATCCTATTGCCCGTCGGGCTTTTGGGACATTGCTGCTCCCCCCCCCGGGGGGGGGGGGCTCGGAGCATAAAGTTGAGCCAGGCCATGCCCCCCCCAAGGACAATTTGATTGCTCTCCCAATTTGCCTGTCTCTCCCTTCCCTTATCAGTCCCACCAAGTCTTTTGGGTTTTTTTTGCTTTCCTCTGCATTTGGGTTTTCACTTTTTTTGTTGTTGTTTAGCACTTAATGGGTCTGGATTGCACCATCCTGTTCAGCATTTTTGTGCTCTCCATTTAAATCCATTATTGATTTTGGCCATTTGGGGATAGATGTTTCAAAAGCAGGAAAATTGAACGTGGTGGGTTGTATTTACCTGCTGTGTCAACCTGACTGATGTCTCAGAATATCGGGAAGACTTTCCGTGGAGAGCCCAAAGATCCATACTTCTGACCCCGAGCCATGTTCAGGCTTCCTCAGTTGCCCTGCTGGATCAGCCACAGAGGCCCATCTCATCCAGCATCCTTTCTCCGGTGTTGGCCAGCCAGAGATTTCCAGGGAGCTCACAAACGGGGCATGACTAACACATGCTCCGAGCGTAATGATGCTCTCTAGCACCACCACCGCCACTGGATGGACAGCCTTCTTCCTTAATACACAGCATCTCTATTCTTCCCTCAGATGTCTCAGACGAACCCCAACCTCGGCAACCTTCTCGGCTTGAAGGTGGAAGCTGACTGCAGCCAGGCGGGGGCAGCAGGGGAGGCCTCGCAGTACCTGGGCAAGGCAGTCAAGGCCCTCGTCCAGGAGAAACTCTCCGAGCCCTGGAAGATGTACTTGCGCAGGTGAGGGCAGGAAGGAGAGAGCATGTCTCTGGCAACAGAGTCTTAAAATGTTGGGCAAGACTGCCCCATATCCCGGAGACCGTCACTTGACTTGGTGCTCCCTCCTCGGGTTGCCAGCCAGCGTCTCACACCTGGCTGCTGCTGCTCTGCACACGTTTAGATTACAGGGAACTGTAGAAGCACATCTTGCACAATGTTACAGCTACTGTAAAGAAGAATCCATCATGTGCACGAAGGCCCAGGACTTTGATACTCCCACTGCGGAGGCCTCCCTAGATGGGTGGGCTACAGTGGGGCCAAACCCTTCAACGCCTTATTTCCTGCATTCTCCTTCTGTGTTGTCATTTCTCTCTTGAGGTATTCTCAACTCCTCTCAGACTATGATAATCCGAGGATTTCAGTACTGGAGTGTTTACTATTCCTCTTGAATTAGGAAATAATCCAAGCTGAACTCTTCCCGGCAGGATTTGTCATTTATATTGTCCATTTTCCCTCAGCCACCTGTAGGCCCGGGGGTGTCCCTTTCACCCAAGCCTATTTGGACTCCTCTTGGGGAACCCATGTGACATTACTGAGATATCTAGACCCTTTCTTCCACTCATTTTGTAATCCTGTCTTTCAAAAGTTGCTCGGGGAACATAGTATAGAATACTCTCTCTCTCTCTCTCTCTCTCTCTGTCTCTTAGCAAGACAGTGCTGTTTCTTCCAGTGTAATCCTAAATAGAGTCATACCCTTCTAAGCCGGTACTGTGTCCTCAGCCGGTATCATTTTGCTCTTGTAAATGTTGAATTACATTTTCCCTTACTGACGATGAATACTTATCATTGCTTGCTTTGACGGCCTTGAGGACCGACCCTAAATTGGGTGAGAAGGTGGAATACAATCTTTTTTTTTAAATAAACAGAAAAATGAAATGCTCTTCCACCTCCAGAATTGCTTTTGGGAGAACCAGAGGGACTTTCAGGTTCTTGAAATCCCATCAAGGTTTGGAGGCTAGGTCTGTCCCATCATACGATGCCACATTTGAATGTCTTTCCCTTTCAGTTCTTATCCAAAGAATTCATTATTCTTTGAAACTGGTTTGGTTTTTCTTCTAGTAAAAAAGAGTCACAGCACGAGACGCCGGCAGGGCTCTGAGGAAACCAGTGTCAATAGATTGAGATACATTTTAAAATCTTCACCTTGTCCAATAGTGAACCAGCCTTGAACTATTTTAAGCCATTTTGGTATGTTACAGTAATACTGATTTGAAACCATTTGACCTCCTTGCTTTTCTTAAAAATCAATTCAAAGCAGAAACGGGGAACGTTCCACCTTTCCAAATGTGATGAGACTGAATATATTAAGGAGGGCCTTTCTTCCCGCACAGGAACTTTCTCTTACAAGATTATAAGTTATCTCACAAATGAGAGAAACAGTCGTCCTCCTCCAGGATCCTCCGAAAAAAAGAGAGAGAAAAAGACACCTTCATCAGTGTTTTTCAATATGTAAATGTATTTAAATTCAATTGATTCATTAATCCTTTCAAAGTCAAGCAGTTAATTAAAACCCTCTAACCCGTTGACATTCTGGGAGAATCATATTCTGGTTTCCTCCCATTCTGGTAGATCTCCTCCCTCTCTTGCATCCCACTGGTTTGATCAGCTATCAAGGCCATTGTGGGGGGGTTTTGCACAAGGGAGCTCCCGTCCTCGTCCTTTGGGTCCAAAGTGGACCAAGGACTGTCTCAGCTCAGTGAACAGGTGACCGGCTGGAGGGCCCAGTGATGTCAGAAGCAATTCTCCCCCCCCCCTTGTCTGTGCATCAGCAAAGGATGAAAGAGGGTCACTGTTGTCTCTCAAAGCACCACCTTGCCTTGGTGCTGCTCTCCATAAGGCATGTTCTCGCTTCTCTCCTTCGGGCAGGTTTGGTACGAAGGACTTCTGTGACGCCCAGTGTGACTTTCTCCACAAAGTGCATTTCCATTGCGTGGTGGAAGAATGCGGGGCTCTCTTCAGCACCTTGGATGGCGCCATAAAGCACGCCAAGTAAGTCTCTGGGGGGGGGGACCATGAATGCCAGCCAGGTCCTTTGTCTCCGGTGCTCTTGTTCACCTGCAGCAGTAGAGCAGTTTATTACAGGGCAGGGCTGGCATCGACACCTCCTGGGGCTTCTGGCAGGGCCCACGGTCACAGACCTCCCACGCTTGTTCACCTCCCCGGCCGCGTGTCCCTGTGCGCGTCTCCCCGCCCATTTGCTTGCAGCCGCTCCACCACCCATGACGGGGCAGGACATGCAGGTGTTGCACAGAGGCCGCTCTCCTGGATGGCCACAACCGCTGGCGCTGTGAGGGAAAGGGCGTGGGGCAGGCAGCTGTGACCGCAGGTGGTGGGAGGCCTTGTGAGAAGGGGGGGTATGAAGGGGGCACTGTCTGCCCAGGGCCTCCCAAAATCTGGCACTGTTACAGGGACTACATCTAAAACCCAAGGATAGTTTTTCCTGCCAGAACGACAAAGATGGCCACTGACAAATACATCCGTTCCTCCAAGCGGATCATCCCATAAGTCCTTTCCTGTTACCGTTTGCTTGAGAAGCTGCTACCCTGCCTTTCCACCCAAAGTCCCAAGGGACGCTTACGGGGGACATCTCAAACTGCTTTAGACCAGTGATCTGCCTGGTTCACTACTGTGTCCACTGACTGGCACAGACAGAGAAGGGTCTTTCCCAACACTTGAGATCCCTTCAGATGGAGGCCGCTGGGGAGATGCAAACCATGCACTCTCTTGCTGGGGCCTGGCCCCCCCCCCCCCCCAGCTTTCATTTTTGTTAATGGGATAAAAACAAACCATGAAAAAAAATGAAAACTGAAATCAGCAGCAGTGGGTCCACACAGGCTCTCATGGATATACGCGAGAGCCTCCGTGTCTGTGCAAGGGCACGGCAGATGCACCTTCTGGCCCATCTAAAAAGCAACCAACGTTATTACATAGCAGGCCCATCAGACTGCTGTGACCACCTGGGCAGCCTTCTTCAGACCCATCTCTCTGTGCACAAAATCTCTTTGAAATCTCTTTGTGCACAAAAGCAACGCTCGTGCTGGCTTGGCCTTGCTGTTGGGTTTTCTACACTTTCCTGCATTAGGAAACTGGGCGTTATTTGGCTGCAGGGACCAAGACAGCTTCAAATGTTTGCCGGCTGACAAAGCAGCAGGGCCGTGGTTTGGATCTCACCTCAGCCTAGATAGCGTCTCTCAGCTTAAGCTCCCCTCTCCCCCAATTTGTAATATGGGAATAAAACAGGGTTGCACTCAATGCTCCCTCTAAGCCGTGGAGTCCTGTGAGCAAAGATACTACTTTGCGAGCTACTGATTTGGCTACTGCATAAATTATGGCACTCTGGAGCCCTCCTCCCTGAGCTAAGACAAAAATGTGTGAGCCGGAGGCTAAAAACTGTGAGCTGGCTCACACTATCTCAGCTTAGAGGGAACACTGGTTGCACTTAGCTGTACCTGTTGTTCATCAAGTGGTCTTCTGTGCAGGCACACATGGGACTTTGTGCGCACAGGCCAGCCTGAGTGTGTGCAGTCCCGTGTGCGCACACACAGAAGCCACAAAGATGAACAACACTTTCCCTGTTTTGCAGAGTCACTGTAAGCTAATGCATGCTACGAGCTTTGGATTCTTGAAATGGATTTATTTATATTCTGCCTCCTAACTTGAAGCAATCCGAGGAAATGTGCTCTACAGGCTTCGAACGCAGCTGTTATTGTATCCCATCTTTGGTTCGTGTCTTGCTGTCCTTGCCCGGCCTTTGGGTGGGCGGCCACATATCCTCCTCTTAGGATTTTAGGTTTGTTTTGGCACATTTAGAAAATAAAATGAATATGTGCCCAGACAAGCCCTGGGACTGCCAGGAACTCTGTTTAAAGGGGGAAGCAGGGCTGGCTATAGAAGTAGCAGGGTCGCACAACTTGGAACTGTTCAAGGTGAGGAACTTCTGTCCAAAAACAAAGAATCCAATTCTCTCAGTCATAAGTGAAGAAGGAAGGGGTGGCCTCATGCACAAAATCTGCCTGTATTTTTTAAAGCTAAATTTAAAAACCTGATAGGGAGGGAAGAGGGGTGGATAGTGCAAAGGACAAGTCCGCGTGAGACATTTGTCCAAATAAAAACCAAGAATGTCACAGTCAAGTTAGCACCTGTTTATATATTCATGCATTATTCTGTTGTTCATATACTTGTTCTGTTCTGTTTTTATATTTACTGAAAATTAAAATAGAGAATATGTTAAAAAAAAGCATCTGGTTAACGAGGTACCGCTCTGCAGACTTAAAAACCAGGACGTGGGGCGCCAATCAGGATGGGGCCTGTGGATAGCCATGGCCTAAGTATTTACTGCTCTTCCCTCTTACTACAGTTTCCACTTCCGAACAGAGGGCGGAGCCGTGAAAATAAACTCTGAATTGTCCTTTCCGTCTGCTGCGGAGACCAAGACTTCCTTATCCCCCTTGTCACCATCCGCTTCTTCCGTCACTCTGGCAAATGCCTCTGCCCTGGACGTGGCCACTCCAAACGCGGCAACTGTGCCCTCCACTTCCACACTCCTTGCTTGGAAACAGCTGGCTTCCACCGTGTCTCAGACCCCAGCATCAGTGCCTAACCTGGCGACATCACTCTTGGCAACAACGTCCCTCGAGAATGCCAAGCCTCAGGTCAAGCCCGGATTCCTCCAGTTCCAGGAGAAGTGAGTGACTCTAGCTTGTTGTCCGGAAGAGGCCAGCTCTTTTACCCAAGGTCCAGTTTTTCCATATGGAAGTCCCATGCAGTTCTCTTTCCTTCCCACCACGGCAGCACTATTACAGCTGTTTTATCTTACCTGCTGAGCGGCAGGTGTTCATGTTAAATTATTTTTAATATGGCTTATGAAATAACACAGGTGGCAGGCCACAGCTTCCTCCTGTGTCACACGAAGGGAGAGCATTTGAGTCTAGAACTGTCGTTTGGTATCATACACAGATTTTATCAGTCTACCAAAACTCCTGAATAATGAATCAACTGATCATTATCTAATCCGATGATACCTCTAAAAGGTAACCATAAAGCTCTGTTTTAGTGGATTTCTGTGGCACCTTGCTACCCAAAGATCTTGGGCAACGGCATGAACTCTCTCTCTCTTTTCATGATTTTAAGAAGCTCTGGGAGAAGTTCAGATTGGGGGGGAAGGGACAGCCTGAAAGCAGGGGCCGGCACTTCCTCCAGCAACTCTGCACACCTCCCTAAGGATAATTGTCTCCCTAAGGATAATTGTGGTCTTTAAAATTAGAAGGATGACAAGAGAGACTCACTCTGTCTGCTTTCCTTTCCCAGTGACCCTTGTCTGGCGACGGATTGCAAGTACGCCAACAAATTCCACTTCCATTGTCTCTTTGGGAACTGCAAGTACGTGTGCAAAACCTCTGGGAAAGCAGAGTCCCACTGCCTGGACCACATCAACCCCAACAACAACCTGGTGAATGTGCGAGACCAGTTCGCTTACTACTCCCTGCAGAGTCTCTGCCCAAACCAGGTAAGAGCAGAGGGGAGCAAGGATGCGCTCGAGGCTGGGGGATTGAAGAAAGGGAAGGCTCCTTCCACAGAGGGATTTTTTTTTTTTGCCAACTGGAACACAACTTAAAACTGCATTTTCAGGGAGTCTCCGTATGACACATCATGACCAATTTCCCACAAGCAGCTGCACCGCCCTCGCTCTTCCCTTCCCCGGATTGTATTAGTCAATTTCCCACCACTTGCTGCACAGCCACATTTTGACCCGCAGCATCCCCCGATTTTCCCCGCATCTTCTCGATCTCAAAAAAACAAGGATCTAGAAGACGCAGGGGAAATCAGAGGATGCTGTGGGTCAAAATGCGGCTGCGCAGCAAGTAGTGGGAAACTGATGGATACAATCGGGGGAAAGGGAAGAGCGAGGGTGGCGCAGCTGCTTGTGGGAAATTGGTCCATGTTTTTTCAGAGCATGTCACATGGGGTTCTCAAGGCTTTCCCCTTTAAGGCAAAGCAAAGGAAAAAACCTCCTTTGCTCCAGCTGAACGCTGGGGGGGGGGGGTTGAGGCGGGGGGGGTG